TTGACCTGACTCTTCATTTTCAGTCCACTTAAAGTGTCACTCAGAAACAAAACAACTATACAGCTGAAATTCTTCAGTGACTAGAACCATCCCAGCTTTTGAATAGACTAAGGGCATTAAGCTTCTGTTAAGAAAGTTGGCGAAAAACCAAGATGCTTTGAATCAATCTTCTACTCTGCCAAATATTCTTAGACCAGGTATCTCTTAGGATTGGGGAGAGGTGGGTAGAATCTATTGATATAAAATACCTGTTTAAAAGAGCTCCCCAGGGCTTCCCTGGTGGTGCAGTGGTTAAGAATCCACCTGCCAGTGCAGGAGACACGGGTTCGAGCCCTGGTCTGGGAAGATCCCATGTGATGCGAAGCAAATAAGCCCTTGCGCCACAACTACTGAGCCTGAGTTCTAGAGCCTGCAAGCCACAGCTACTGAGCCTGTGTACCACAACTACTGAGCCTGCACCCTAGAGCCTGCGAGCCACAGCTACTGAGCCCACCTGCTACAACAAAGAGTAGCCCCCGCTCGCCGCAACTAGAGAAAGCCCACGCACAGCAACGAAGACCCAACACAGCCAAAAATAAATTTATTAAAAAAATATATAAAAGAGCTCCCCAAATCACAGTAAGTAGCCAGTTGAGGAAGGATTTGAAGATTGGGTAATAGCTGACTTTGAGGGGTTTTTTTCTTATTTCTTTCATTTATCTTCTTCACAAGGAATGTGAAGCCCTTTAAAGGCTTCTTTGCTGTTACACAGTGGAGGAAGTGTGCTATAGTGGAGAGATCATGGGCTTTAAAGCCACATAGAACCTGGGCTTGAATTGAATAGCAGCTCTGCAACTAACCAGCTGCCTGGACTTTAGTCAAGCTTCAGAACCTTTTCTTGTCCATAAAATTTGGATATTAAAATACCTATTCCATAAGGTTGTTAATGTTTAAACAAGATGACACATGTAAAAAGCTTAGGGTTAAACCTGATGCATGGCAGGGGCCCAATACATGTTCTCTAAACTTTTATTTTCCCAGATTTGATAGAATAGAAGCTTTTAATGAGTCAAACTTAGATGAGAAAATCATGAAAATCTGTTTTTCTAAATGCAGAACCTATTCTTTGAGCAACTACTAGGCATTATGGGAAAATTTTTAAAATGATTAAGGACCAGTCTTCCACCTACTCACAATCTACTAGGAGAAAAAGACACATGAATAATACAACTACAGAATATAAGAGGTAGAAACAATGTGCTATTGGAATTTATAGGGTAGGGGAGAATTCTGATATGGTGGAGAGGTACTGAAAAGGTGTCCAAAGTAATTTGTGTAACAAAGTAGATATACTCTTGAAGTTCTGTTTTTTAAGGAATCAAATATAAATTAAAGTTTGCATTGGGGCATATTCTCTTTAAATGTTAAAGCCAGAAGTTTGACTTAAACAAAATTACCCAAACATATATTTAATATAAACTACTTGGTCTTAATTTTGTTCTCATATGTCAGTTTTTAGAGGAATGGATGCATCTTGGGAACTCCTGCTATCAGTGTGACAGTGAAATAGTTTGAGTACTGATGGCAGTTTTAAAAGTGCCCTTTATTCAGGTTCTAAAAAATACAGTTGGTGCTTCTTAACAAAACCACATGTCACTCCTCCATATTGAAAGAAATGTCTTTTCTTTATAAAAGCTTGGTAAGAGTTATTGGAAATATTCAAATTGCCCTTTAAAGGATTTTTTAAAATTCTAGGGCTGCTTCATAATCAAGTCCCTTGCTTAGGATCTTCTGGTTTTTTTTTTTTTTTTTGGATCTTCTGGTCTTAATGTAAGTTCCACTTTTCTCATTCACACAGACTTGGACATTACATTTAAAGTTTGTGTTCAATCCCATCTCTCAAATTAATTTGCATTAGTCTTGGATATAATCAAAGTTGTATAGTTAGCATTCATCCCTGATGAATTGATGAACACTAGCACTGGAGACTCATGCATTTATATTTCGTTGAATGTTTTGGAATGAGAAATCAGACTATATAGATTTAATCAGGTAAATACACTAGAGATGTATTACTTCCTTGTGAGTGCATTTCCCCAGTTGTGTCATAGAGCTTGTTACTTAAACCTAAATCAGAAGTGCTCTATAGACAGGTTGCAAAATGATTGTCAAAGACTTCTTATCAACTACATTTTTTCCTTGCCCAGTTTTCTGTTGTTGGCTCTATTTTTGTATCATTTGCATTTTTTTCATCTTCGTGTTGAAATAGCTCATGCTTTATAGGAAAAGAAAGTAGTGATGTTTGGAAGTCTAGGCCAGGGCCAGAATCCTGTGGGCCTACTGGCTGTTCACTGTAAGGACTGGACACAGTTTGACAGACCGTAGAATCCAGGAGTTGGAAAAACTTCAGAAGGTTTTGGATGGTTGTATCGTAATGGGATCTTGGAATACGAAGAGCAGACTTCCAGTACCAGCCCTGTCATTCAGAGGCTGCATGCCCTTTTGGACAAGTTATTTTACTCTTCCAAGCCTCCACTTGCTCAACGTTAAAATGGAAATATCCTCTCCTTTAGGGGATTGTTGTGAGGATTAAATGAGGTAATATATATCAAAAATAATTATAAAATAACTATATAAATGTAAGGAAGTAGTACTAGCTCCCTGCTCCAAGCCACAGTAAACAAAAGATGGCCACCTTGATGTCAGAGTTAAGTGTTCCCAAACTCTGGGCTTCAGTGGGACTGACACTAACCAACTTTGAGATTTTGAGCACAGCATTCTTTCTCTTTGGGCATCAGTTTCCTTATCTGTCAGATTAGATCTCAGGCTAGGTGAACTCTAAGAGTTTTCCAGCTCTAGAGATCCTAAGTGTATCTCCTTTCACTGTCACTCTATTATTTACTTGTGATGCAAGTGACAGAAAGGAAAATATTTAAGCTCAAAATGAAGTACCACACTTCCCTGGTGGGGCAGTGGTTAAGAATCCACCTGCCAATGCAGGGGACACGTGTTCAAACCCTGGTCCGGGAAGATCCCACATGCCGTGGGGCAACTAAGCCCGTGCGCCACAACTACTGAGCCTGCGCTCTAGAGCCCGCGAGCCACAAGTACTGAGCCCATGTTCCGCAACTACTGAAGCCCACGTGCCTAGAGCCCATGCTCCGCAACAAGAGAAGCCACCGCAATGAGAAGCCCGCACACCACAACGATGAGTAGCCCCCGCTCGCCACAACTAGAGAAAGCCCGCGCGCAGCAATGAAGACCCAACATAGCCAAGAAATAAAATAAATAAAATAATTAAGTTTATTTAAAAAAATTAAGTACCATCATAAAATTCCCCTTGTGAGTGAAATCCATGATTAAGTCTCAAAGAGAGAGTGAAAGGGCTTCGATTAGTGCCTCTTTCCTTCTGAGAGCTAGGCCTTCCTATTAACTGTTTCTGTGAGCTATATTTGCCAGTCAGGTAACAATCTGAGAAGTTTCTGCTGCTACTATGCCAGCAAAGAAATATTTTGGCAGTAATGTCCTTGGCATCAAGCCAAATACATTTCACAAAATGATATCTTATAGGAGGCAGGTTTGGGCATTGAGGAATTTCCTCACATATCTACACCCATGGATTATTCCCTTCCAAAATATATTTGCTACAGATATGTATAAATCTGTAATGCTAATTGATGAATAAATAGTACTTTATATTTTCGTTTAATAAACATTTTATTGAGTGTCTGCTATCAGCCAGACATTATGCTGGATACTTAATGTTATCTCTAATTTTCATGTAACCTCAATGTCACCTAGGGGTCTCCCTGCTGGGGATGGAGGTACATACAGGGGGATGAGGAAGTTGTTGACATCCTCACAAGACCTCTGGTTCTGAGCACCTACTTTCTGCTGAATTTCTATAAGTTTGTTCATTTTACAGTACAAAATAGGGAGATTGCTTATCATCTTGCCATGCTGCACATGCTATCTCTCTATTCCGTACAGCATTCACCCGGGTGTGAAATCACTCCTCTTCTTCAATTTACACATATATTATCTTCACTTGAGGCATTCATGTATGTGATAGATTTTACTGAAATAGAAGGAAGGTTAATTGTGGCATCACAAATAATTTCAAATTAATGCCAAGTATCTCATACTACCTGGGAGATTTTTCCTCTGGCCAGTTCATCCCACACAGAGGGATAGTCTCTCATTGATTCCTCTCTTTTTCACTTTTCCCTCACCTTTTAAATTTCCCCCATACCTTAACCTCACTTCTGATTTAAATAAATACACACACACACACACACACACGTGTGTGTGTGTATATGGATAGATAGATACAGATATGTATGTAATATTTTGGTCTTTAGTCCCTAAATGAGCCATGGACTTGCCTTTGCATATCCAGACTCATCTAGGTATATGTTCAGTGAAACAAAAAAAGGTTTACCACTCTCAGAATCCACCCTCCTTACAAGGCAATAGTGGTTATAAACAGCAATTTTTTTCCCTAATACCAAATAACACTGTAAGGATTGGTATTATCCTCATCTTATAGATGAGTAAACAAGCTCAAAGATTTAATGACTTGTCCAGGGTTATTCATTTAGTAAGTGACAAAGTCAGATTTTGAAGCTAGGTCCATTTGCATCCAATGCACTTTCTACCAAACAAGACACGATTCAAAAAAGAAATTGGAAAAGATGTAATTTAAGGTCCTCTGGGCTTTTTAAAATAGGAAAATTGCTTTGAAAATTCATAGCATCCGAATCCATTTGGAATAGGGATGCATAGCTTTACTGTTGTGGCCTCAAAGCTGCTGTTTAAGAAGGTAGGTTTCAGTAATTTAAAAAAATCCTGCTTGGTATCAGATAAATGGGCATTTATTATGGCTAATTAAATTTTATCTTTTAAAATTTACTTAGACATTGACTTTTACCTCATAAATATTTATTAATCCTCTCTACCTTTTTTTATCATATTTCTTTAAAAAATACTTTTTCTAATACCTGCTATTTTTTTTATTACAGAGACAGTTAAAGGCAGATGCTAAAAAAGCTATTGGAAGGCTTCAACTCCGCACACTGAAACAAGGAGACAAGGTGCATTTATGACTTGTAAATGCTATTTGTTTTAAAGCAGTGCTACCAAGCCATTGTTAAAAGCTAAATGTTCTTCCAAAGTGTGATTTTCATTTATTTATAAATCTTATTGATTTTTTAATTTATTTGATGCTGGAGGTAGGCTGAATAATGGCCCCCAAAGACATCTAGGTCCTAATCCCTAGAACTTGTAAATGTTACCTTATATGGCAAAAAGTACTTTGCAGATGTGATTAAGTTAAGGATCTTGAGATGGGGAGATTATCCTGGATTATCCAGGTGAATCCTAAGTATAATCACAGTGTCTTTATAAGAGGGAGGAAAGGGGAGATTTGACTACAGTGCAGTAGGAGATGTGACAATGGAAGCAAGAGGTTGCAGTGATGCAAGAAAGGGGCCACAAGCAATAACAGTAAGAGTATAAGTTTGTGTCATTTTAAGCCACTAAGTTATTGTAATTTGTTACAGCAACAGGAAATTACTACAGTGCTTCAGTACAACTCTACTTGAACATCCATTTTCAGATTTAGCACAATTGAAAACTACCATTGATGTATAAAACACGTATCAAAAAATAGCTATGGAAGTTTGTACTACAATAAAAATATAGCTACAGAACTTGTTGAAATAAAAAATACCATTTATAATAGCACCAAAACCATTATATACTTAGGTATAAATCTTATAAAATATGTACAAGATCTATATGCTGAAAAGGGCAAAACATAATGAAAGAAAGAAATCAAAGAAGACCTAAAGAAATGGAGGGATATACCACGTTCATGGGTTAGAAGACTCTGTCGTCAAGATGTCACTTCCTCCCCAAACTGATCTATAGATTCAATGCAGTTTCAATCAAAATCCTAGTTGCATCTTTTGTAGGAATTGACAAGTTGACTCTAAGTTTATTTGGAAAAGCAAAAGAACTAGAATAACCAAAACAATTTTGATAAAAAACAAATTTGGATGACTCACATTTTCTGATTTGCAGAATTATTTTAAAGCTACAGCAGTCAAGAAAGCATGGTATTAGGGAAAGGATGGACCTTTAGATCTTTGAAACAGAAGAGACAGTCCAGAAATAGACCCACACATAAATGGTCGATTGATTTTTGACAAAGGTGCAAAAGCAATTCAAGGAAGAAAGGGCAGCCAGTTGTTGGCTCTCCATACGCAATGACTGAATATCCGCAGACAAAAAAAATGAACCTCAATCCATACTTCATACCCTCTGCAAAAATTAACTTGAAATGGATCACAGACTTAAATATAAAACCTAGAACTATGAAATTTTAGAAGAAAACTTTGGAGAAAAATATCTTTGTAGCTTGGGTTAGGTAAAGATTACTTAGATATGATACCAAAAACAAGTCCATTAAAGAAAAAAGAGAAATTTGTTAAAATTAAGAGCTTTTGCTCTTTGAAAGACTCTGTTAAGAGACTGAAAAGACGAGCCACAGACTGGGAGAAAATATTTGTAAATCACATATCTGATAAAGGACTGTATTCAGAATATATAAAGAACTCTCAAAACTCAAGAAGAGAACAGACAGAAGGCAGATGCTAAAAAAGCTATTAGCGGGCTTCCCTGGTGGCACAGTCGTTGAGAGTATGCCTGCCGATGCAGGGGACACGGGTTCGTGCCCCAGTCTGGGAAGATCCCACATGCCACGGAGCGGCTGGGCCCGTGAGC